AGAGTTCAAATTACACACAATATTAAGTTGATGTAATTACCAACATTATTACGTCAACACAACTTATAAATTAATACTTGCAACTTAAAATGTTTATCTAAATCAATTAACCCACATTTTTTATCTTGCAACCATGCATTTAATTAAGTGGAGGTGAAAGGTCCCCTGAATTAGTTTTTAGAGTGTATGACCCCTCCTTTTGTTAATTGATAAGCCTTGAAACATGCACTTGTCAAGGTTCAGAGTCAAATTTTGCAATTATGGCAGTAGCCATCGATCATCTTAAGATAAGATAAGATATACTTTATTGATCCCAAGTTGGGAAATGTTTTTGTTACAGCAGCATGTACAACATGCAATTTATTGTTACTTTGTAATTCTACTCCACTACAATTCAGAGGTTAACCTGATATTTGTACTCCACTGCATTTATTTTAGTTACTTTGCAGATTCTGATTGTGATGTGAAATATAAACAACCCTTAAAGCAGACTTTAGTTACACCTGAGTCAAATTCAGGGAAGGTGATTGTCAAGTGCCAAAATAAGCTATGCAATATATTAGACAATAAGTACTTTGTCAATATGTATCTGTAGATACCCCCAAAGCTTTTTTCTTATTTGACCTTAACTTAAAGTATTCTTTAATGTTTAAATAAAGCCTTATTAGTTTGTCTGTTTTGCATATCCTCCCTAATATCTTTGGACGTCCTGCTAAACTGTTTTATTGTAGAGATCACTACAGAATCTTCTTGATATTTTCTATTCTATATTTCTATCATTGACCTTCTACTTTCCCCTTATTTTGTATGTATGTACTCTTAATATTTAAATTTGTTCATCAAATATAGCATATTCAACAAAAATGCAATAGCATGCTTTAACCACTAGGTGGTGCTTGTTAAAAAACTGTCAAGTTAGTGTTAACACAATACATTATACTGCTGTTTCCAGTTAGGTTTATGACGGATGTATTTTGTTATCCACATATATTGTTTTGATATTTGTTACACCAAACGGACAGAAAAGATGGTCTTAACATGAAGTGGTCTAGTTAATAAAACATAATAATATCAAACATAATAAAACCAAGATTTTAATTTATGAAAAATACTTTTGGATAGGCATAAAATGAGGCCAGTCACAAAGATAAATCAATCATCTGCATAAAGTAAAACACAATATAATTTTCACATTTTTGAATGTCCATATGGAGAACAAGGATTTGAAAATGGAAGATAAATCGTGAGGGGCGCCTCACGCCGACTATGATATTTTCAAATATAAATAAATAGACTTTCAATTATAAAATCATAAAAAAAACGATGACGTTCTTAGTCCTGTTTACATAGATACACGGCTATACAGTATTTTAAACTGCTTTTTATGGCTGTGGATGAGATTTTACAGTGATAGAGGACATATTTGAGCCTTTGTTTATCAAAGCAACGTCCAGCAGCACCCTGCTTCACATTCATGGTTACATGACATCTGGGAGCTGCCAAATGCAACCAAAATCTTTAGTGGTGTTAGATGAACTGGAATTACAGTTGTTGTTTGCATCTAAAGGACACTTAAGTTTGGATTGAGAGAGTGTTACTGATACATCATTTTTTTTTTAAAGGGTACAGATCCATACCATACAGTATGCACACTTGTAATATCCTAGATCCCAGGTACAGAAATATTTTGGTGTGCGATTGATTCAACCTGATATGTATCTCAGTGTGTGTATACTGTATGGCTCTTTGGATGCTTGATTTTAAACTAACCTACAACCCTAAGTTAGATCACATTAAGACTTTCATGTTGAAGTAAATGCTAATGTCAGCATGCAGTAACAATGACATCAGTGACAATGTTAACATACTAATGTTTGGTAGCTATAATATTTGTTCACTATTTCAGTTTGTAATATTATCAAGCATTCATTTTATTATTAGCACTAAACAAGACATAACACAAGACATAGGCTACCCTCAAGACTGAGCCACTGGTTGGATTGATATATTATAGGTTTCCCTGTACCATAAAAGGCCATTTCCAATCAACACACACTCACCTGCAAACAGCCAGTTCCTGCTTTCAATTGTTCTTTTCTATAAATATAATTTGAGTGTCAGCTGCAATGTGTTAACCCTTCCCCAAAACAGTGTAAAGAAAATGATAATTAGTGTGGGAAAAATACCAACCATTGCATGAGAGTTTCAGCATACTGCCATTCACCCAAACCATAGTGAAATCTATACAGTATATTTTAACTCTGTTGTGTCATTGCCTCACTGTTGCATCATAATATTAAATGGGATTGTATTTTGGGGTCAATATATTTGAACTTAAAAATGTCCCCTAAGATTGAATGCATTGGAGAGATTAAGTATTTAAGTTAATGTTTGGACAATATTCAGAAATGATGATGATAAAACAGACTTAAACAAGGTACGTGTGTATGATTGCTGTGTAATTATAAGACCAGGGTGTCGGACACACTTCCAAATCTCTCCACCAGAGAGAGTCAACAAGCTGTGCGGAGTCCACTGCGTTTCATTTAGTATAAAATGGTCAAGATTGAGAGGCTATTTATTCTTGGATCAGTTTAGTTCCCTCTCCAGTGATCTCATCCTCTCTCTAAAAAGGTCAAAATGTGCATGTACTTCATGTGCTGCAAGCAGGACGGGTCATAACCGTCATAACCTCTAACACAACTGATTTTTTTTTCACAGAGATAAATTGCACTTGCTTAACCACAAACATAACTCTATTACCATGGCAACCATGCAAAGAGAACTGGCTGATAAACACAGACCTGTTGCCATCTCCCACTCAAACACACACACACTGCGCTAGTTAATTGAAATGTGACACATTGAAATGATGATTAATCGTGGTTAATCACGTTGTCTTTGGAAAACAGGAAGAGGCGACTGACCCATCTGCTTTTGTAAAACGATAAACTACAGAATAATGGCACATTCATGTCTGTGCGCAGGTCTGTCCCTGCAGACGAGAAGGTTGAATAATTTGTACAATTAGAAACACCTTTAACCTGTGTGAACTTCCTCAGAGATGTATATTTAAGATATAAACAGGCTCCATTTGTTTTCTCTTTATGGCCACAATTATGTCAAAAAGCATTTCACTGTAGGCCTATGTGTGATGTCCCTTTGCACTCGTTGTAAAAGAACATGATCAAAATGTAAATACCGTGCAACCTGTAGTAGCACTCAGTGTTCAGTTCCCTTTCTCTGTCCCTCTGCTCTCTCCCTCGCTCCTCTACCTCCCCCCCTCACAGGCGACTCAACAACCACTTGCTTTTAGATACTGCTCGGCTTGTCACCATGGCAGCAAATTCTCAATAATATTTTCCTTATCTGACGTGTTTCTAAGTGCACACACTCTCACAAACTCACATACAAGTTTAGCGGTTGTCATGTGGGAGGTGTGTCTGTCTGTACTTCTGTACCCAGGTCCAGCTGGACCACATGCAAACAGAATTCATAGTGCATGCTGTGACAGGAAGGGATACTGCGCCATGAATGATTAGCACACCATATTTTCAACATTTTCACAAAATATCATGCCATTATGTGCTATCATGCATGGCATGGCAGATGTGTGTACTGAGTGCATACGTGCAAGCTTTTTTTCTGATGTATGAGTCACACACATTCCTAAACTTGACAGATTTGCCTACTTCTGTTCAGGTGAACTGG